CTATAAAACATTATGTAATCGTCCAGTTGTTTTGTGCCTTTCAAGTTTTTCATAGTTTCTGTAATGATGGTAATTTGTGTCTTTCTGTCAAGCATAATTTTTTTTCTGCTCCATCTCTTTAGACCCCAAATCCTCTCACATTTTCAGTTGCTATCCTTTATTCTTCTGAAATTTTATTTTTGTCCTTTTCGTGTTTTTTCGTCCGGTGTTGTCGTGTGAAGATTGCGAGTATAAATTTAACGCCGAAGAGGTTGCCAGCCTCTCGCAAAGTTTGTGGTGTGATGCGAGTTCCTTCGAGACCATCTTCGTGTCCTCGGCGAACTGCCTCTTCTGTAGATCCTCTTCTGGAGTACTTCTTCGTCTGACCCCTTTCCATCGGCTTGTCCGGCAAGGGAGGCCCTACCAGTAGCTACGCTTCCGCCAGCATAGCTCTCAGGGCCATGGGGGCACTCAAGCTCCACCAACAGCGTCAAAGTCATGTACTCCCTAGGGGGAGGCACCTGTTAACATCGTATCTAATCCACAAATGAAGTTAGGACAGGGTACAGAACAATATGTCTTTAGATTACCGTACATGTGGCAACCTCTTCACTTCTCTCCACACCAATCACTTCACAACATAATCCAACATGCACGAACGCTCTGAAAATTTAACAGAATAAACAAATCACACAACACGGTTTGCAACCGAGGAAGTTATCTGAGCTGTCCAGGTGACTCCGTGTCGGAGGCTGAGGTGCCGATGTTTCGACAAACATGTCGCGGTCTTCTTCTGGTCTGTGCTGCCTGAAGGGCTGTAGTGGCCAGATCATGACTCTGACCGCGGAAGACTACGGTATCATTTAACCGAGAAAGTGTCATCTGGACCACAGTTACATCAAGATAACATCCAGTCTGGCCTGTCCTTTTTCTATTCAGACGAAAAATGACGAAAAAAGGTCCGTGTAAAGTGTGCTTAACCCAGGACTAAGTGTGAAGGTCTCATGAGCTACGCTTGTTCAAAAGTTTGAACCATATTCAATTAGTATGTACAATGAACGATAAGAGCACCCGAGCCATAACAAAATCGTCTGAACGCACTGAGAGGTACAAAGAGGTGCAATGGTGAAAAAATACGAATACAAGCATACAGAATATAAACACGGGGCTATTCAATTAAAATTTTGCCATAAAGAGCAAGGGTTGGAAAGTATAAATTAACTAGTAGTGCTACAGAATGACACAGACTTTCCCGTATTAGTTTTCTATTTCCTATAGTCTCGGCTAGCTATTCGAACTTACCACATATTATTGCCTGCTGCTATCTATCGCCGCCCAAAGTACGTTCTCTTGAAATTTTCTTCATTTTTCGGTTTCTTAATAGTAGAATGAAAATATTATTTTAAGAATATTAAAGATCAGTAAAACCTCGTTCTAAATAGCAATTCTCTTAGAAAACTTGAAGTGCTTTTTAAGAAAATGGCGCTTAAGCGCTACAATAAATTCGAAAAATGAAGCACTTTTTCACAGGAAAGTTTTGGCTTTTCCAAAAACTTTCATTTGAAGTCATTTGATTCACTTTAATCACAAATACAATAATACTTACCAATTGCGGGAAATGTGCATATTACCATCGTGAGAGCTCTTTAAAAAAATTATATTTGTGTAATTAAAAAAAATACCCCGAAATTAACTTTACCAATATTAAAGAGTGCAATTAGAACTATCTTTCGAAAAGCTTGAAGAAAAGCATTGGAAAAAATGGTTTGAAAAAATGGCGTTTGAGAGTTTCTGAAAATTTGAAATATTGAGCTAATTTTTATAGAAATCTGTGGAGTTTTCGAGAAACGTTTTACTACAGTATTTGAAGCACATATACTCATAAATATATTAATGTAAACAAAATTAAATGTAAATATTAAGGACGTGACAAGTCAAATAAATTACATTTTTGTAAATTTTGATAAATCAAAAGAATAGAGCAGTATGGCGTCTACGTCATCTCGTAGAGTGCATTTAGCACAATCCCTACCAAAAGTTTAAAGAAATAAATGGATCCGTTTGTGATAAAATCTTGGTTTTGTATTTTTTTTATAATTTCGAATATTGCACACAATATTGCGCGAAATCAAATAAAATTTTCAAAAAAATGTGTATGATCTTAATGAAAGAACAAATAATGGACACCAAATTTAATTTAAAAGAAAAATCTCAATCTTTAATTTTGTAGTTGTAAAAAGACTCTGAAAAAATACAAAATTTTGAAATTTTCGAAAATTAAAAAAAATTATTGCATGAACCTCGGACCAATGCCATGTATATAAGCGTATTTTACTCTATTCTTACAAGAAATTTAAAGAAAAAATTTGGAGCCATTTCTCAGAAAATTTTTAAAATGTCTCAGGGTCTTCATGTATAGTACGCTCTAAAATTAATGTATGATTTTCAAAATCGCAGAGCTTCAACCTAGACCAATTGGTCTGGGGTTTCTTCAATTTGGAAAAAATCCTACGCACAGTTGAGGCGCTAATGTTGTTCACATACACCAGACAGACAGATGGACAGGCGGACGGACAGGCGGACGGACAGACGCACTGACAGGCGAGCGTTTTGAAAAAAGCACTCTTTTAGTATTAGGGGACCTCAAAATCAGTATTTCCGTTGAAATCTGAAAGTTTTATTTTCCGCGGCATTGCATAACTTTCTTTATACTACCTATATTATTCCGTATATACGTATACATACAGGAAAGTAAAAAATGTATTTACAATATTTCTCAATGTATTTTTTACTTTTTAAAATTTTCCAATGATTCATAAATTTATGCATGCAATATTCAAGATTAAAATACGTTATTCTTGTAGGATCATGAAGTAGAAATTAATTCAGAAAATGTCGGGCAAGATAACTCTCAATTTATATTCTATTATTGAAGTTTTATGCAAAAGGATTTTTTTATAAAATGTGACATGGACAGAGGAATAATTACAATCAGAATAAAATCTAATAAACTCACACTGTAAATTATTTTTAGATCATTTTTGTTAAAAGAGTTAAATAACATACATACATACCAAAATATGTGTGTACACGCGTCTTTGCATGAAGACACTTCAGGCTATACGCCTCTATTGTGCCTTGCCCTCCCCAACGTCTCACAGTCTCCCTAGTTTGCGGAACAATGGCCCTTCCCCCTCCCTGTGCAATATTTATTCTCCTTCGAGTGGGATTCAAAGAGTTCAGTGTTCCTCATTGGCTGTCCGAAGTAACCCTTTCTTTTCACGGTTGAGAGGAGCTGTCGAGGTACCCCATTGGTCAATTTCTGCCGCTGTCGGATGGCCGGTACTCATCGGTGGGACGGGAGGATCTAGGTTGGGAAGGGTGGATTAGGGTGATTCATCGAGGTTGGGTCAGTCCCTGCATACCTGGACACAAGAGGAATCAGAAACGTCACCGTTCAAGTGCAATGCACTGGCAAAGGAGGCTTAGGACATCAAATGATGTCACAGCAGTGCCTCTGACCGGGAGGTTCGAGTCCCGACTGTGGCATGATTTTCAACTCTAGCTCGGAGTCTTGATTAAATTCAGACGCTGTTTAGAGGATAATTCTAGCGGCCGGCTGCTCTGTAGTTTTTTGTGGTATCTCCGATCAACACCAGGCGAATGCCGGAGCAATACCGTGACAAACGGGCAACGGACCGAGCGCGATATTTTCTTCCTCTTCCTGTCAAATCTTCACCCCTCTTACACTTACTTACACTAACTCACACGAACTTACGACCCGCCAAATCGAGCACGTCACGGCACTAACACCTTAGCGACCTCAAAATAACCGAAATATTTTGATAAAGTCATATTGGCGTCGAAAGTTGTTCACGTCATAAGGTTTCTAAATGCATTTGTGCAATACCTTTTCAGAAAAATATTCTGATATAGGAAACCGCAGAAAACCTATCTGCATTAACAAGAAAAAAACGAAATGAGTAATGATTAAAGTTCGCTCAGAAGATGGAAAGTATTGTAGTATAAACAGATATAGCTAATCGCGCGGAAATAATGATTAGTTTGAGAAGTGATATTTGGTTAGGAAAATGAATTTAAGTTTTAAGTCCACGCAAATATCAGGATGAGCTATTGTTCACACCATCTTCGCTGTTGGGACGCCACGAGTCATAGTATGAAATAACAAATACAAGCAAATAGGAAAAATAAATTTCGTGTGCGATTTTCCGAGGGGACAAGTCCTTTTTCCTTGGTAGCAAAAGACCATAAACCATAAAATACTTCATGCTGTGTCTGAAATTCACAATATTCCTGTGACTTTTTCTTCCACATATTTCCTTTATATGTATTAAAACTTCTAATATTTCCTCCCACTTCATTTTTTAACAATTTTCATAAATTAATTATTTCATTAAATGATTTTCCTTATTTTACTAAGGAATGCAGGAAGGGATGTGTGAGTGGGAGTTTTGAAATCTCATAGATGATTTTTTTAAATTAAAAACATACAATTATCATCTAACAAACTTTTTGCCACTTTGTACTTTCTAGTTTCATTTTATACGTAAGAGAACTTACTGTTTCTAATGTTCTTTATAAAATTAGATATAAGTGAATGGGGTGACGAAATGACCTACATGGTGATTCATATTGCCAATTTCTTTTTATTCGACAAGAAATTCAGTTTAACATTGTCTATATAAAAGTATGTATGAATTGAGGTAATTGATACATTATGGTAAAAGTTTTGTATATCAATACCATTAGTAAATCATTCAGGCTCGGTGTCTGCAAACATTGAATAGACATTAAAAAGAAGGCACAAACTGCCATAAAATTACCCAGATTTAAAAACATAATCAAAGAATAGGAAAACATGTAATGAATTGAACCTTCGCGGGGGAAATGTTATAAAATTAATGACATATACTTTAACATCCTTTTTTTAAAATTCATTTATTTCCCCAAAATAATGGTTTCTGACACAGTCTATACTGAGATTAACTTTCTTTCTACAGGGCTCAAGGACGTCATCTCATCTACAGCAAAGCCAGTAAGACGATTGAATGGCCTCACCAAATCATTATTTGCACTTTTTACCTCTGAAATAGCTCATGTAGCATTGCAAAATTCAATGTGTGTGATCAATAATGATATATAACATTTTTGTAAGTAACGTAAGTAAAAAGATACCTCCAAGTATAGTAGGTCATGGTAGTGAAGATAATATTTGGATTGAAAACAATATTTTTATTTTCTGGAAATTTAGGTAAGTTAGTGCAATTTTGTCAAAATGACAATACAACTTACCATCAATCATGTAATTGTCAATCTTAAAAATTGCATTACATGTGTATTAAGTTGTTTACTATTTTGAAGTAGTGATTTCCATAATTCAATCGTTTTCTACTGGCACATTCTTGCTTTTATAGTTATAACAAAATAATTTCATTATGACACAGCATTCTAAATTTATTTACTTTTACAGCTTCTTCTCCTTTTCTTTCTTTTTTTCTTTCTTTCCTTCTTTCTTTCTTTATTTATTTACTTATTTCTTGATAACTGAAATCAAATGAAAATATAAGATATATTACAGAAATAATTATTTTAATCGATGCGTTCGTGGGTTTCGGAAGCCTAATAATTTTAAGTCGCAGTAACAAAATGGCAAAGTCATTATGGACCGCAAAAATCTATGCATTCTTAATTTTCAAATCCAGACATTTCGGATTTTAGTAACACATCGTTTATATTTTTCGCTCTGTAGTTTAAAAATATTATGGAGAAAAACATTATTACTCACAAAAAGTACCATCAACCTCCCTACATTATTACTCATAATGAAGGGCTTCTCTATGAGTCACCTTACAGGTAACCGCGATAAGAGAGACTGCTTCTATTCCGGAGTCTACTTCAACTAATCCTCACCGCTGTTAGTACTTTGAATATACCTGCGCTATGAGTCATCATCCAATTAGTAATAGGAGATTCTGAGCGTGCTTTGAAAAATATTGGAACACACAGATATTTTTAAACAACATTTTCTGAAGGTTAATTTTCTTTGAAAGATTTTAATACAATAAGACGCTAAGTTTTATTTTAGTGCTAATATATTGCATTTCATTGCGAATACAATTGCAAAATTACATTTGTGCGCTTTTCTATTAATTGATTAGTGAATCCGGGCGCATCGACGACCGAAGTCATTAGTCCCGTAAGAGTTTCGCATATTTTGTTATCACGGGAGGTGGCGGTAATATTCCCCAGCTGGATAGTGAGATCCGACGACGACATACACGTCGCCAATTTTCTATTATTTCGGCGGAGTTCTTTCATTCTTCAGCCAAGGGGTACTGGAAAATTTCAACAGTTAGCGATACGAATAATCGTTTCATTAGGAGTTATGTAAGACTTTTTCAATAAGAACGCAACGAAGGAAGTTACTATTGTATACAATCATTGTGGATTTACTTATTGATTTATAAGTAATTAAATGTTTTAATATGATTCACTTGCCTTGTTCAAATAAATGTAATACGTACAAATTCTGTGATGCATTTTGCATTTTGCCTTTGAACCAACAATTAACATATTTTAAATGATTAATTCTAAGTAATTGATTTTTTTGCAAAAATTCAAAGGAGGTTAATTAAGTTTTAGTTTCATTTAATTTTTTTTTCAAGACCATGAAAAAAACAATTTTTATTACCTGATGCGTAGAATGCTAGAAAGTTGACTGTTGCTACATGCGAAGAGGAAGGGAAAAACATTATGAAAAGGAATGAATATACGTCGAATAATCAGTTACTTATTTCTGTTCCTCGATCATTTATTATTTATTCTCTTACGTTTCAAAGATGTTCTCTGCAGAGAGTGCGTTGAGAGTTTACCTTCCCAACCACCGTGAATCATAGACGCTTTTGTCCATTTATTAACAGGGCATGCAGACCTTCGGGTTGAATGAGGATGCTTCAAGAATAGAGAAATGAAGATAGAAGAGTATACATTTCCAACGCGCACAGAAATAGAAAGAAAACTATGCCGCCTGCAGCCGCGTGAAATGTGTAAGTGGTTTCGTGATTTTCAGAAACTCGGAAAAAAGTTCAAAAACAATGAAACAGGTTTGATTTTAACTTTGCAAAGTTTTGATAGTGTTTCATTCTCATGCGCGTACCTACAGTCATCTCATGTTCAGCGCGTCACTGCATACGACGCCATTGATGCCATTCGATAGTAAGGCGCCAAGAAAGAGGCGACCCGCCATTAAATATTTGTTATTTGCGTGTTAGGTTATGAATCATCACCTTTTTTTAAAACTTTCTTGGTATATAGAGAAGGTTGTGAAGAAAGAAAAGTTTCTCCGCAATGACCCCATGCTGATGAGTGAGTAATCAATAGAAATTATGTTGGTATCACCAGCAAGAGACGGCCCTGGGACCATCCAAGGGTGTGGCTGATCTAGCGGGAAGGGGTAACAACACTCATGCGACACTGGTGTCGCGCACCGCACGACCGCGAAGCTGAGGGAGGTAGCAGCAGCGGCGGCGATGGTGGCGCCCCCGACTTGGCTCGGTGCGGAGACACTTCTGATGCGCTGCGCTTTATTAACATACTATACTCCGCCATTACAGAATTCATGAAGGCTATTTTTGTCAAAATATTGAATTAAATGCAGTGTTACAACAGTGCAGAGTATTTTTGTTGTTCTCGAGCAGTTAGCCTACGTTTTATTGAGACAACAATTTGCTTGGTCAGCAGTACTTTCGCCTGTGCTCGCTACTTGTGAATACTAAACGGTAGATGGCTCTCGGAAGGCAGTGTCGAGGACTTACACACGTAAGCAAACTCTCCCGTTTCCCGTTTGATGAAACCCTTCGCTTGAAGGAACGCAGACCCGCTTGCTATGTTTGTTTTGTGGCTCAATTTTCCTTTGTCAGCGATCGTCCGCTCTCTATAAAGCGGAAAGCCGAAGCGGGTGAACGGAAAGCGAAGGTACAAAGTGCATCGATGAGGGGCAACTTTGACCGAAAGACAAAGGAACCCAGTGAATCTAATGTTACCATTTCTGTAACTAACATGCAAAATTTACCCAAATTTTCTTCTGGAAAATATTCTGAATAGATCGAATCGAATCACAAACAATTATACCTGCTTTTGTAGAAAACATAAGAAATAAAAAAAATATAGACAATTTGGTCGATATTAATTTTGCAAAGTATTAATTTTCAGTTTTTAATTTATTAGAGACTCGTGTATGAATATGAAATACATTTTTATAGACTTAGTTTTTTTAACATATGAATTATTCAACTTTTGTCCCTCGAGTTCTTTAAACATTTTAGCTGATTTGAAATAATTGTTGGGATAGAATATAAAAAGTAATTTGAATTATAGAATACTAAGAGATATTTTTCTACAAAATATTTCAGCTGTTATCAATGGTCTTTCAAGCTGCGCATATCAATGCTATATTTATTTACAAATAAAAATAAGTCAATGACCCTTCGAACCCTTCGAGATAGCCCAACAATGATTACTATCTTTGTTTAGCAACAATTGTAGATATCGTATAAAGGTCAGTTTACCTTTCAACGTGGTGCTTTTGTCTTCTCAGCACACTCCAATACGTAACTAGAACTGATATCTATAATTAGGCTCTGCAACCTAACAGATATTACGTGATATGGGCGAAGACAGGTATTACAATATAATGTGCCTCAATGCATTGAAATTTGCTTTTCTTTAGATATGACCAGAAAGCACGATGACAAATAAAAAATATTATTAGTTTACCTCTTATGTTTAGGAATACATTAAAATCAAAATAAATGGCAATGCACGAGAACATATGGCGATAATTTATTTAATACTACCAGTGCCATTATCATTACTATCAGTGTTATTATCTTATACTATCAAGTAATACTATGAGAGTGATATCAAACAAGTGCAGGCATCAGAATTTATGATGTCAGAAGAAGTGGAGATATTTTGCCTGTTTCAAGTGGCTAGATTTTGTGTTCTCTGGTTCGCTCATCAAAGTGCGTAGGTACTTCATTTTTGTGTAATTTATGGTAAAGGAAAACAAATTTAAATTATGTAAATCAATTTTAAATATATCGTCTTTTTTATTTTTTGAATGTAAATATTTCGCATATGTCGTATTTTAGAAGCAGCCATCTCAGATCTATTTTTTTTCCAAAAGGGAAGAAATTTTTCCTTATGCTCATCGAACCCCGTTTAGAGCTCCTTCGATGCTAAATGCAATGAGCGTTCCAAGGATGACGCAATGAGCGTTGCAGGAGGCGTAGGTCGTGTTTCGTTTGTTGTTCCAGACTCTTATCGCAGTATATCTCACAGATTGTTAGTATCTTATGTTTGTTGTTCGAATTAAAAGGGCAAATAAGGAACTGAAAAATATTATGTATATTTTTTCAATACCACATATCAATATATACTCTCGAAAAAAATTGCGTTTATGTGTACTTTTACCTTTTATTGTGTTTAATACTTATTTCGTTTTTCATACGAGTCTTTGATATCTATCACTTTTGCACAATCGTCTGATGCGGCACAAGATATGTACACATTTTATTACAGTCGTTGTTGTGGTGCAAAGTTAGAATACTTCAAAGAAAATATTTTTTTTTTTTGAAATAATAATGACGACCAGACAGGGATTGCTTCAATTTTTAAGGCGTGAGAGTATTTAAAGAAGTGAAGATTAAATAGATTAATATATCAATTAAAAGGTTCTGTAAATTTAATTTACGTATGGTAATTCATATTTATTGCCTTCACTAATTTCAATTGAAGTTCTTTAAATTTTTTACAATTTAAAAAGAAATATCTAAGCAATATTTTTTGTTAATTTTTCTACAAATTCTATTTTTTTCTAAAAACTATTTTGAATTTAAACTCGGTGACAACATTTAAAATCAATTTATTTTTTAAAGGAAATTAATAGACAACAGCAATAAAATAGGATCACGAAACTATGTTTTCAATCCTAATATTCAAATTCATTTTCTATTCTTACTTGTGAACATTTTCAAAGGGGGAGAGGGCTGCATCAGTCACAGACCTCTCTCCTGGGCCTTTAGCGCTGAAGGCGCCAACAGCCTTCGCAATCTCCG